GAGGTGTAGAGCCTCTCTTGGGGCCCTGATGTGGGGTAGGAAGCTTTGGTCTCTTAGAAAGGCTTCTCTACCACAGCTTGGAAAAATTACTTTCTGGATTACTATTCCCTGATTCCTCAAATCAGAATGGCAGGATTCTGGTAGCTATAAGCCCCAAAAGGAACATATCCAAGTTATGTTCTTTGCCGCCTTTTATTTCTTATTTATATGTACTATAAGAAGAACAACAATAACAATGTGCCATCATGTCAGTTCTTGACTTGCAGCTACCCTTTCCAAGGTTTACTACGTATAGATTAGTCAGGTCAATGAGTGGGGACAGCAGGGCTGTTTGGCTCTGGCCTCACCTCCTGGGAGATGAGGCTCACCTAAAACTAAAGCTCAAGTAAAAGTATACTGTCAAACATTCTATAAATAAAGGAATTTTTACATGACATTATTTATATTGTTTTTAAAACAATTTTTCCCAAGCAAGGATGGGGTCTAACAATGTGAAATGGCCCAGACCTCATTTGAGCTCTTGGAGAAAAGATTCTGAATTGTTTATCATTCCCATCTTTTGGGGGTTCCCTGGAACTGTGCAGCTGTCCCAAGGCCACACAGGCTGGCTCTTCCCCCAGCAGGCACAGGGAGGAATCAAACTCCCAACTCCTGCCTCCCTAGCTGGGTACCAAGTATTACCTACTTTTTCTTTTTGAAAATTTGTACATAATCAAATATTTCCCAAATCTCCACAATCCATTATTCTGTCTCATCCAGAGGAAACCTGTAGCATTGCCCTGAAACGTCACTACACAGGAAAGCCGACATTCATCAAAATACTGAACTTGTGTGTATTGTTCATTTAAAAACTATGTTCTATCAAATTGATTGGATCTTATGGGGACACTTGCCAGAGTATCCTACCTCAAAAGTACTCTGAAATGGTTTACCATTTCCTTCCTTCACTAGAGGCATTCAAGAAAAACTTAGACAACCACCTGGCAGACATCCTTTGATTTGTATTCCTGCATTGAGCAGGGAGTTGGACTCGATGGATTTATAGGCCCTTTCCAACTTCATAATTCTATGATAGCGCTGTGGGACTATGCAGAATAACCAGAGTTACACAGGAGGCATTGTGTACTTATGCTAAACTAGACCTTACGATGGGTGGTTTTCAAAGAGGCAGCCATATTAATCTGTTTCCACATGTATAATGAAACAAAACAAAAACATGGCAGCTTCTTAAAGAGATTCATTTCATGGATTCTGGTCCACTTCCGTAGACACATGAAGAGAACTGTTTAACAACAGTTTTATATGGACTGTATACGTTGTGGGTTGTGGGTGTTGTGCCTGCCTGACTACATTTTTGATGCCTTTCTCCTGATGGTGGTGGGGTTTCAAGGCACACATTGTCAACAGGAATGAAAAGAAATTTTTTTGCCCGTTAAAAAGCTATTAAACATGGCAATACTGTATTAAAACATGCATCTAAAAACAAATTTTAAAGTGTAAATACAGTATATATAAAAGCATCAAACATAGCACATCTAACTATGTTACTAATAACTAATGAATTTTGGGAATGTTGATTACATAAATATCCTGGCTATTGCTAGACTGATTAATTGTCTGCCAGGTAAATAAGTCTTGCCTTTGAAGTACACATTCTGATTCTGAGACTGGAGTAAGTAACTTGTTTTTCTTTTCATCTTGCTTTTTTAATATACATTGTGACAGATAGCGCCTTTTGAAAATGTCAGTTTCTTAGCCGTGTATCCAACTGGAGCATCTATTTGTTATTTCACCTCTATATTATTTTTCTTCCCTTCTTACCTGCCCTCTTCCATGCCTAGGACACAAAGGAAGGGTTTTGCAGATGGCATTGAGCCCTGATGGAAACAGGATCTTTACAGCTGCAGCTGACAAGACAGCCTGTGTATGGAAGTATCCCATGTAAGCAAACATAGTATTGCTTTCAGTAGGAAAATTGTTCCTGCTAATAAGGATGTATTATTTCTGTTGGCTACTCTTTAATTATATAATACTGCACCACGCATACAATATATATTGAAAAATATGGAAGCAAAGTATAAACTTTGTGACATGTTAAGCCTTCTACTATTATAAAATTTTCCTAATGCATCCAATGGACCCATTTTTACAGTCTTTCTGCAAGCAGGCAAAGACCATTTTCTTCATGCAGGCTTTTCCATAGTGACTGGTAAGCTGAGAGGTTTTTTTTTTTAAAAAAAAATGTTATGCTCTGTTGCTTTTAAATGGGTTTTGATACTGATTTTATTTACCATTTTTAATACAATGCCTGTTTAATTATTTTTAAGATTTGTATAATTACTATTTTTAGCTTTTAAATATTGTCTTTTTATCGATGTAAGCTGCCTTGGGTCCTTCTGAGGAGAAAGGTGGGAAATACCGTAAATAAACACATACATACATACATACATACATACATACATACATACATACATACATACATACATACATACATACATACATACATACATACATACATACATACATACATACATACATACCATGTTTCCCCCAAAATAAGACCTAACCTAAAAATAAGCCCTAGTATGATTTTTCAGGATGCTCATAATATAAGCCCTACACCAAAAATAAGCCCCAGTCAAGTTAAACCCTGCCCTCCACCCTTGTGCAGCAACCAGAAGATGGCATGACTATATTTGAATAAATGTAAATTGTTGTACATGAAAAAAATAAAACATCCCCTGAAAATAAGCCCTAATGCGTTTTGGGAGCAAAAATTAATATGAGACCCTGTCTTATTTTTGGGGAAACACAGTACATACATGCATTATGTTCTAAATCCAAGAGAAGACATTCAGAATGATAAGGCCAGTGGCCTAGGTTTGGAGCAAAGAGCACGTACTGTTACGTACAGAACTTTGTCCGTGCCACACTATCTCAGAATCCATCACCATTGTTGTACTGCTGGGACGTTTTTTCTCATATTCAGCTGAAATCTAGATTTTTGTAATTTGAGCTCATTATTACGCGTCCTACACTGTGAAATGATTGAGAACAGATCATGCCCCTCCTCTGTATGACAGCCTTTCATGTATTTGAACAGTGATATTGTATCTTCTCACAGTCGTTGTTTCTCAAGGCTTAACATGTCAGTTCTTTCAGCCTTCCTCCTAGGTCTTGGTTTCCAGTCCCCTAATAATCCTTGTTGCCTTCCTTTGAATTTGTTCCAGTTTATTGACATCTTTCTTAACAGTGTGGTGTCTAGAACTGGACACAGTACTCAAGAGGAGGCTTAACCAGTTCCAAATAGAGGGTAACTAGTATTTCATGGGATTTGGAGACTGCATGCAGCCTGAAATAGCATTCTGAAGGAAATTAACCCTGAGTGCTCACTGGAAGGACAGATCCTGAAGCTGAGGTTCCAGTATTTTGGGCATCTCATGAGAACTGAACACTCCCTGAAAAAGACCCTGATGTTGGGAAAGTGTAAAGGCAGACGACAGAGGACGAGATGGTTGGACAGTGTCATTGAAGCTATCAACATGAATTTTACCAAACTCCGGGAGGCAGTGGAAGATAGGAGGGCCTGGTGTGCTGTGGTCCATGAGGTCATGAAGAGTTGGATACAAATTAATGACTAAACAACAACAAAATAGCATTTGCATTTTTTGCAGCAGCAACAAAATAGCATTTGCATTTTTTGCAGCTACATTGCACTGCTGGCTCATATTTAGCTTGTGGTCACAGTTCAAAGATCCTTCACACATGTAGTATAACTGAGCTAAGTATCTCCCATCTTCTAACTGTGCATTTGTCACCCTTCCCTGGTGTAAAACATCCCACTTATCTCTCTTACCTTTTATTCTGTTGTTTTCAGCCTAGTGTTTGAGTCTATCAAGATCTTTTTGTTTCTGTCTTCCCAGATACTAGCTGTTCCACCCAATTTTGTGCCATCTGAAAAATAAATACAACTCCCAGAATTCTCCCAGCCTAACATGACCACTGGCTATGATGACTGGAGGATTCTGGGAGTTGCTGGGTAAACATTGGGGCTCTTTTTCTCAGAAATATCACACCCTTTACCTCAGAGCTTTGATTCATAAATGTAAAAGCGAGGAAAGACACCCCCAGCCCAGCTTGTTTTGCTTAATCCGAGTGCTGGTAGAACCTTAAGCACAAAGTATGTCCAAGTTTAAAACAAGCTAATTGAAGCCTAATTTGCACTGATCTTTTGTCTTAGAGAGTAACCCAAGCAAATTAAAAAAGAACCACAAGATTCTTTTCTAAAATTAGTTAATCTCAGTCTCTTTCAGGTGGGAGGGAATTAATGATGTCACTAGCTATGACTGAGCGCCACATTCCAAAAGAAGATGCTCACATGTATGCAAATCACCCACAGGATTATGTCTCATATGCTTTAGCCTGTAGGATTGCAGTATGTCAGATACCTTTTAGGGTGAAGGTCAATAAATTTTCCAGCACCACACCTGATTCATGGGCACCGTACATATGATGAGATCCTCCTTGCAGGAGTCAAGGAGTCAACTGTAAAGCCAACAGATTGAATACCGGAATTTAAGAAGATGGGATTTCCAGTCCCAGCTAAGCATTAAAACTTATAAAAGAAATTCTCTCCTACATCAGTGAGAATAAAAATTGTAATTCAGTTGTATAAATAAATGAGATGAGCATAAACTAAATAACATGCTAAGAAAGACAGAAAAGTTTCATTGTGGAATATCGGGGTAGGGGTGTGAGGTAAAAATCAGTGTGAATTAGTGTTATTTGTTATGATTCCTTGTATCCAGGAGAGATGGTCTTTTGTGAGCCGAGTATAGACACCAGGGTATCTGTTGTCACCACATGTTTTAACAAAGGAGATGATGCCTTTTTGTTCCTCATTGCATATCAAAGGACCACCAGAGTCACCCTAGAGGAAAAGGAAACAAAAGGCTATGTTGTTATATTCAAGGAAACTGATATGTTGAATCATAGTGCCACAACAATGAACAAGATATGGGGGGGAGGGGAAATCAGCTTTTTCTGTTACTGATTTTGACCAATTTTTAATTAAAGCAACTCATGCAGTACAGCTCTCCACAATTGCTATTCAGTAGCAATGCATTCAACACATTTTAGGAGGCTGAAATGAATGAAAAGACTTCTGGGTAATAATTACAGGTCTGAAAATACAGAAAATATAATTTTAAAAAATCCAGAATACAACTCTATGCACATTTACTGAGAAGAAACACCTACATAACTTAGTAGAGTTTGCTCTAAAAATTACTAAGGATTTCAAGCCTGCATGGCAACCCTACACATGTTCACAGTTGCATTGTGTTTAGTTGGGCTTAACTCCTAGCAGGGTGGACTAAGTTTGCTGCCCTTATGGTTGTTGTAGATTTTTTGGGCTGTTTGGCCGTGTTCTGAAGGTTGTTCTTCCTAATGTTTCGCCATTCTCTGTGGCCAGCATCTTCAGAGGACATGAGTTGGAACTCTGCCTGTGCCATGAAAGCCTTCGGGAATACATTGCTGTCCTCACATTGCAATTCATAAAGAATATCATTAAGATGTTTGTGTAAATCCATACATGTTAAGATGTGCATGTTTAGTTGTGATTTGTGTTTTATTGCATATTAAAGTTGAGTGAAGGCTCACAAGGTTGCTAAACAGAGACTTTTTAAAAAAATCCTATTTAAGTCAGGTGGAAAGAAAAATTGTAAGATAGTTTTACTTTACTTAACTTTTAAAACGTTCTTAAAACAGTTTTTTTTAACATTTTTAAACCTCAGTATCCAGACTGAACTGAAAGAGGGAAGGTGGACAAACCCCATGAAATTTTCTCTCAGAAGGGCATGAGTCAGAAAGAAAATCTCTGGGGTCAAAATAGCTCAAGCCTGCAGAATATCTTTGTCACTGAACCCCTTTGTTTGAAATGGTAGTGGAAATATCCTCCTGTCTTTAACACGGGCCTGGGAACGGTAGCATATTTACCTCAACCTGGGGTCAAAGAAGTTAATTCAAGACCCACTTCCTTCCTCTTGGTCATGCAACCAGGAAGGAGAAAGAAACGCTATTTTCTCCTTTCTTCTCTGAATGAGACCTTAAAATCAATTTCCTGGATCCAGTGAGGCACTTTGACACGAGACCTTTGCTTTGCTTTATGTTTTTTAATAAATTCTGTGACAAAAGATAAAAAAAGCTCCTCAAGCCAAGGCCATTCAGGGTAGTTTGTCACCTGAGGCAGAACTGCAATAACTGTCTGTCCTGCAAAGGTCAAAGTGCCCAGCACCAAAAAACAGCAAAGTTAATTTGGCCAAGGATTTAGGAAAATCCTTCAAGCACTTCTCCCCATGACTATGAGTAAAATATGTCAACAATAAAATAAATAATTGTCCATGTCTTGCGCTTTCATGACACTCAAATCTGCCACCTAAAACTCTTAAATCTCTCAGGTAGAAACCTATTGAAGATCAAAAAAGTGCTACACCTCCACAAGTATAGCATTCCATGTGCAGTTCTAAAGGCCCAATATTGCCCTGTTCAAAGCATCAAGGTGTTCTCCTTGTGCAAGGGGACTAGTGAATATCCCTCCCCTATACAACAGGAAAAGACCCCCTGTGTGCAAAAAAATATGTATGTGGATAAAAACAAACAGGATTTTGGTCCTAGCTACTACAAACAGGATTTTGGTCCTAGCAGCTCACCACAATTTAAAGAAGCTGGGATTTCTCAAAACACCCACAAACAAAGCTGCCCCAGCAATGGAGTTGAATGCCTAGGTGTGCTGGACAAGATGCCAAGTGTGACAGTTCAGATTATTATCTCACATTGTTACTATCACAGGGATTGTTTTTGAGCAATGTATGAAAAAAATTCCTCTAAGCTATGACAAACAGCTTTTATTAAATTGCAAGTGGTTCCACCCTTCAAGCTAAAAGAAGGTTTGGTGAAATAAAATGTATTCAAACTTAATTGTATCCTCTGCCAATTCATAAATATACTAATATTATTTAATTGGTTGTCATAGGTGAGCAGCCCTCGTGGGAATTCGGTGTGAGAGAATCAGTGCTTAAAATAATTCTTACCCAACATTTATCCATCCCTCCTTTCTTCTCACCAGCACACACCATGTTTATTCTCACAAGGTGAGAATTATAATGATTCTTGTCATTGCAGATTCTTCTGTCAATGATGACGATGTTATCTTCACGCAGGGTATCAGATCCCCTATTTTTATGAACAGTTCCCCATCCAGCTACTATACAGTGGGTTCCTGGCTTGATGTCATCAGAAGTTTTGGGAAGTGGAATGGGTTTTATACTTGGCTTGATCCTTCTCCTTGTTTGAATCTGAAGGAATTACAAAAAGAAGCAATTGGTAGTGATGAAAGAATAGCCAGTCATAGATTTTGGTGTGTGGCCTGCAACTCTTGATTTTCTTTTATATATTTGTAATGGACAAGAGTGACTGAGACAGCTCCCTAATCCAGCCTATACTTGTAGCAGGACCAAATCTGCACATTTCTTACCCATTCATTTGGCCCATCTGCTCTACCTCCAAATTGCAGATTCCCTTCTGCAGGAATTCTCTTTGAATATGATCTTCTATATAAATCCAATAGGTATGCGGTCTCTGTCATGCAGCTGATTTCTGTTCATTACGAGGATAATTGGGCACATGATCTGGGCCTATTCATGATGGAGTTCATGCATGCAGGCTATATACGTATGGGGAAATCCTACCAGGTTGACAGGAAGGATAAGTGTTGCTTGTTCCACACGATCCACTCGTGGGTCAGATTGAGGACAGGTATAGAAACAGAACCTGTCCACTTACAGAATTTAGTACTAAAACTGTGATAATGATTAGTATTTTAATAGGATTTGTTTGTTTTTTTAAGTGATGCATTTAAGGAGGGTATTGATCTATGAGGAATGTGGTGGCGCTGCGGGTTAAACTGCAGAAGCCTCTATGCTGCAGGGTTAGAAGACCTGTAGTCGTGCAATCAAATCCACGTGACAGAGTGAGCTCCCGTTGCTAGTCTCAGCTCCCACCAACCTAGCGGTTTGAAAGCATGCAAATGCAAGTAGATAAATAGGTACCACCACAGTGGGAAGGTAACGGCGTTCCGTGTCTAGTCGTGCTGGCCACATGATCACAGGAGATTGTCTTCGGACAAAATGCTAGCTCTATGGGTTGGAAACGGAGAGGAGCACTGCCCCCTAGAGTCAGACACAACTGGACAAATTGTCAAGGGGAACCTTTACCTTTACCTATTGATCTATGAGCCATGTTTGTTGCAGTAACTCCTAAAGTTCAGAAGCAATATAATTTTCTTAACATATACAAAAGTAGAAAAAGATGGCCACTTCATCATCAAAGTGCCTTTGGCTATACACTTCCAAAGACAAAGCTCTGTGAAGTTTAGAATTCTTGACTAAATGGAGACTGGTGTGATCCAGTGTTCTTAATTTCTCATTTAAAAAAAAATAGCATAAATCCTTTCACTGGGTTATGTATACTGAAAATGAAAACCTTTTTTGAGGTGGAGTTTGGCAAGTAGCCCCTAAAGAAACACTTTTAACAGGGGCTTCTGGGGCAGAAGCTCACTAGTAGTATTTACATATACCTGTCAGCTATAACAGCCACTTTATACATTATTTACTGCATAAACAGCAGCTCGGAAAGGTCTCAGTGTGGCTGCAGGGCTCCCATTTTTCACCTTCAAATAGCTGCATAGTTCAGGTGTATCAAAAGTTGGTAATGTACTCCACATCTGATCCATGCTCCACTTTACTTTCACGTTAAGGAAACTTCTTAGAGTTTCCCAGAATATTTCTTGAGTTATCCAGACAGAACTTGTCAGGAACAATGACCCTGAAAAGCCTATGAGTTGAAAAGAGAATTTAGGATGATTATAAATATTTGGGAAAGTACAGACCCGAGATATTTTAATGGCTGGGGTAAAGGAGAACACTGTGCCTTCCTGCATTCTATGTACATAAGCCAGGCCGAATTGTTGTTAAATTGTGCTTCAAAACTGACAACAGGATAGCATGTCCCACCATATGAGGGAAAGAGGAGGCTAGTGTAGGAGGTAAAAGATGAATGATGCAGCTTGCATCATTCTGTCCTCCAAAAGAACAGAATAGCAAAAGGCTGTCACTATCACCAAAATCTGCCTCCTGAAGTTGTTTCCTCACTCTGGCTAATTTTAGGTCTGCCCTTGGTAAGTGCTCTGGACAGATCAAGTAGCAGACAGGCAAACTTTCAGTTCGCAGAATTAAATTCTTACCTGCATATAAAAACAAGGTTCAACATAATTATTAGAAGCTATAGAGTTTGGCCAGTTCACAAAAAGACCTTCTTGTGTGCAACTGAGTGAACCCAGATCTAACTGGGTGGATGGTTGGTGATGTGTTTGGAACTTCTCAGTAACACTACCCAGATTATAGAATTTCTTACTTTGGAGAGCAGAATATCCCTTTGTGTGTCCAAGCTAAGGGCACAGACTAGACCTTTCTTTGACTTCTGTCTGACCCCGTGTTGTTTGATGCTGTCTTCTGATCATCCTAGTGTTATTGTTTATTGATTTTGATTTATTACTTTATTGTCTTAATGTTTTCATTACGTTGCATCCTGTTTTTCAAGCTACATGATCAAAGTAGTCAAAAATTCACAGAATGTGAAAGACTGACATAAGGAAATTAACAAATCTGAATGTTACTGACATGACAATGTTAAGACTGCTCTAGATTTTCCATTTAAACTATTTCAGCTGCAGAGAGCTTTAGTGGTAAAATGTACTATTTAAATGATGATAAGGACGCTCTCACAGGACATGCCAAATTAGGTTTCGTGCCTCATGTCTCCTTTGAAAATTTACCTGCAAAAGCATAATGTCATTTTCAAGTGTCTTTCGGTTAAACCCTGGGTAAGAAAATATTTTAGTAATGTTAGCGATGTGTTTTTCTTTCTCTCTCTTAGTTCGTGATTTTGCTCCAAGAATAATGTATGCCTTTTCATCCCTGGAAAGATAAACAGCACAAATAAATCAACCACATTCATAGTTGCTTTCTGTTATTCTGAAAGTTTGAATTTACACACTTCGACCAATGTTTTACAGACTATATGACTTTACAAGGCCAAAGTTGGGCTACCTAGCATAAATGTCATTTTCAAAGGGAGCTTTTAGCTCCTTTCTCTCTATGGAAGGGAACATGGACTTACATGTACTCTCTTCGGAGCTCATGTCAAAACTAAGGATGCATCAGTTTGTGATAAAAGATCACATTTGATCACACTAGAAAGAGTTGCTTCTCTAGGAGCTAGCTTCCTTGAAGTGATCCTTCCATCCATGCAGGAATTGCTCCAGCGTGCCCCCGCCAAAAGAATAGCCCCACCACTAGACCAAAAAAAGTCCAGTTTGGGCACAGAGCTGGTTCACCATCTCCCATGTATTGTGTGATTACTTTGTGCCACAAAGCAGTCAAAAATGCAAGCTGTTTCCCCATAGTTCTCACTATGGTCCAATAAAAGTAACAAATTTAACATTAGAGTACTAAGTCTACCATATTGTTTTTTTTAGTTCCGAGAAGCATTATTCATAGACCCTCAACAACAGCACACACCAGATATCTTTGTAAGACTGACTATGAGCCCAGAGAGAATGCAGTGCTTAAGATATACTGCTTTTGGCAACTTAAGTAAAATGAAGCTACAGAAAGAGATGATTTTATGTGACAGCTGGGAATGAAAGTATGTCTTTGTAAATTTGGCCCTTGTAAGGATATTAATAGTCTTGATCCACCTTGGGCCCCACCATGGGAGAAAAGTACATACATCCTGCACATACAGTGTACACACATACTCACACACATCCATTACCTCCTTTCCACATTGTGTTGTTCTTGTAAGACATCTCTCAATATCTTATACTGAACTCTTACTGTTTCTCACCCATAATGGGATTTTAAAAAAGAATCCCATTTGATAAGTTACATAGGTTTTATTTACGCATGTAACCTTCTTAAATTCTATGGGAGGTAGACATTTGGTACTAGCAGCTCACCCTAGAAAGCAAATGTCAATAACTTTCCTAATGGACTTCCCTCAAATGTCCTTGAGAAGGGAAAACTTCAATAAAAGCATGCATATTTCTCAAAACTTACGGAAAACATTGGGCTGCTGTTAAAGCCCAGTTCTCTTTGATTAAGGTTCCTGCACACAAGAACTTTCTTCTTCTGAAGAGAGCAGCCATATATGGTCTTGAAGGCGAACTTGTCTCTTCCTTTTCAATTATCTCTTCATATTAACCGGCAAGAAATAAGACATTCAAGTCAGGTTGGGTCATTTGGACCATATGCACAGAGTGCTGTGGGTTAATTAATGAGAAATAGTGTAATCGTGTAAATACTCAATAAATTGGCTTTGGTATGGTTGCTTCCATGAGATTTGACATGGTTATAAAGGGTCATTGTACAGTACTAATTTTATTTATTTGTTTTGTTTCATTTATAGGCCCCTTTTTTCCTGATAAGTTGTATAGCAGTTGATCATTAAAGTCAGCTGTACTAAAAGGGAGCATATTTCAAGTAGAATTTGGCAATTGTGAAGTGTTATGAATAGCGTAATGAAACTTGCCTTAGTGGGTTTCTTATTCCCATCACATTCTGGATGTCAATCTAGCAGAAATGAGAGACATGTTTTATATGTATAATAATCCTTTTGATATTTATTCATTTATTTTATGGTGTAAGCCACCTAATGTGGTCGTAATTGACCAGATAGGCGGGATATAAACAAACAAACAAACAAACAAACAAACAAACAAACAAACAAATAAATAAATAAATAAAATATAATTGTGGAACATCTAGTGGTTGTCATGGGAATTAAGAAATAATACCCCTAGCAATGAAGCCAGAGTCCCGCAGGGCAGATGTCCCGAAGAACCTGCTAGGACTCAGACCAATTGTATTAGTTCTATTTTGCTCTGTTCGTAGGAGTGTTAGGCAGTGGGATTGTTGGTTTGCTGAAAATATCCCTCATGTGTTGGGGTCAGCTAAGAGAACCAATGTGACAAGGACTGAGGAGCATAGAACTGAGGTAAATTTGTTTCAGATCTTTGCTCAATTATTAAACTGACCATATTGCCTTGAGCTTGTTGTAATGGGAGATTGTGAGAGGCTCATTGTAGCCAGCACCACGAACAGGCCATATGAGCTCACCTGGCACCCTCTGGAAGGCCTGTTGGACCCAGATGATATTGGATATCAGGTGGGTACTGGGAATGGTCAGACCACCCAGAAGAGAGAAGCAGCTGTTGGTGAATATGGACCATATCTGTGCCAGGTTGTGTGAGCAGGTCTGGGCTGTGTGAGTAGGCATGGACTATTATGATAGAGATGGAGGAGGTGAAGAAGTAAAAAGGGCAGGAGTCACATGAGGCTGGAATGGAGGAATCAGGATAGGAAGTGTACTTGTTTGTTATAGTACACCCATATCGCGGAGGAGCTTCTTGAGTGTATCCTGGAAAAGATGACGGGCAAGTTCTCCTTCATCACTGCTGACTGCTCCAACCCCAACACCCACCACTGAGAATGCCTGCAGCAGCAGCATGCAAGCTTGACCCAGCACCTGGATGAGCATCTGGAGGGTGGTATAAGTCCTCCTTGAAGGGGGCCAGGGGACACTGACTAGAGCAAGGACTTTTGATGGCCCCAGTGAGGTCAACTGGGAGCCATGAAGAAACTAAGATTGCAGGGTAGCCAGATAACTTTCTGAAGATGGGTGGGTGGGGGATAGGGGATTGCTGGTGATGAAATCAAGACTAAAGCCTTCCTCCTTCCCAATAAAATTGGAGTTACTTCAACTTTCCAGTGGGGAACCTATGGATACTCACACAGGGGAGAGGGTGCATGCAACCACAACTCTTGGTGCAGGCAGCAGCACTCACAAAGATTGTAACCTTAAGCCAAACATTAGGTTCAGAATAAACATTTACCTCAGTAGCAGCAGGGGAAAGAGATTAATTCCATCATATACGTATCTACTCTGTTCTCATTAATTCTTAGCTTCTTGCAGCTAATGCAGTTCACAATTTAAAAATCTTGCTTATTGGTTATAAAAATAGATTTAATTTCATCTCAACTCGAGCTCATAGTGCTCACGGATTCTGATTTACGGTAGGTGATGTGGGTTGAGTACAAAAGAGTAGATCATATCTTGTGGGATTGTCTAAAAATATAGTGAGAAACCAGTACCTTTCTTTAATCTCCTGGTGAGTAAAGGTATTATGGCTAGTAAATTGAAGAGTATATTGAGGTTATGTGCCATCAAGTTGCAACTGACTTCTAGCAACCCTAGTACAGCTTTCAAGGTAAATGAAATATTTAAGGGTTTACCAGTTCCATTCCTCCAATGAATTTACGTGGCTGAGCGGGGATTAAAACCCAGGCTCCCCGACTCCTTGTCAGTCACTCTATCCATTATACCACACTGGGTATCTGGGGAATATATTACAGGATCATAATTTAAGCAATGCAGCCTTAGGTATATTATGGTCTTGTATGTGTTCTGGTAATTTAGTAAATCATTTAGAGTTAGCCCCCTTATTTTTCATTTATGCTCTTTTCTTTCTCTCTTTTTATTTATTTATTTATTGGATTTCTATCCCGCCTATCTAGAACAAAGGTCTACTCTGGGCAGTTTACAAATTTAAAAAACAGTGAAACCAAAAACATATACAGTGGTGCCTCGTTTAATGAGGATAATCCATTCCAGCGAAATCGCTGTAGAGCGAAATAAAAAATCCCATTGAAACGCATTGAAAACCCATTCAATGCATCCCAATGGGCTGAAAATTCACCGTCCAGCAAAGATCCTCCATAGGGGTGGCCATTTTCAGTGCCTGTAAAGCGAGGAATCCATCCTAAAACACAGCGGGGAGCTATTTTACACAGCGGGCAGCCATTTTGAAGCTGCCGATCAGCTGTTTTAAAAACATCGTCTAGTGAAAAATCGGTTCCTGAAGCAGGGAACCGATAGTCGGGAAGCGAATTTTACCTATTAAAACATCATTTTGCGATCGCAAAAATAATTGCAAAACAGTCATCGTATAGCGGTTTCGTCGTTTAATGAGACAATCGTTAAGTGAGGTACCACTGTATTATAGATCCAAGGTGGTGAAAGTATAAGAAAGTATGATATGGCAGGAGGGAAAGCCTGCTCAAAAAGCCAGGTTTTAAGTTTGTTCCTGAAAACACCCAGGGAGGGTGCCAGGCGGATCTCCACGGGAAGTTGTTCCAAAGGCGAGGGGCCACTGCTGAGAAGGCCCAGTTCCTCATTCTTTCCTTCTGGACCTCCCTTGGCATTGGCCCCCTCAGCCGCCCGGCCTGACTGGAATGAGTGACTCTGGCAGAACTGGGTGGGAGAAGGTGCTCTGCCAGATATCGAGGTCCTAAACCATTTAGGGCTTTATATGTGATCGTAAGAACTTTGAAATCAACACAGAAATGAATGGGCAGTCAATGCAAGGCAGCCAGTGTCGGGGAAATATGTTGCTACTTTTCAACCCTGTAAGAAGGGTTGCATTTTGTACCATCTGCATTTTGTACCACTTTCTGCATCAGTCTCAAAGGCACTCCCATGTAGAGCACGCATCAGTCTCAAAGGCACTCCCACATTACAGTAGTCTACGAATGCATGTACCAAAGTGGTGAGCGTCTCCACTTCAAGATAGGGATGCAGCTGGGCAATTCGCCAAAGGTGGAAATATGCGGAACGGACCACTGACGACACCTGGGTCTCCATGGTAAGCGCCGGGTCCAGGTGCATACCCAAACTGCAAACCTCACTCTTGATGATAGGTCACCCCCCCCAAAGGAAAGGGAGTTTCCCAGACCACTGGTGTCTGGGGCACCCACCCTAACGACCTCCATCTTGCCCGGATTCAGCCTCAGTCCATTCAGTTGCATCCATTGCTGAACAGCCCCCAGACAGCGCTCAAGGGACGAAACAGCATCCACTGTTGTTGGAAAAAAGGAGATGTAGAGCTGAGTATCATCAGAGTACTGATGACACAAAGCCCCACATCCCCTGAAGATCCCTTCCAGCAGCCTCATATAGATGTTAAATAGCATTGGATACTCGAGCCCTGCAGAACCCCACAATTGAGGCTCCACCGGGCCGAGAAACTCTCTCCAATCTACACTCTCTGGGGATGGTCCTCCAAGAAGGAACGGAGCCAGGCAAGAACCAGGCTACCGATTCTCAACTCGGAGAGCCTCCCCAGGAGAATACCATGGTCGAGGGTATCAAAGGCGGCTGAGATATCAAGGAGAACCAGCAGAGACATTTTGCCTCTGTCAGCCTCCCTCAGTAGGTCATCAAACAGGGCGACCAATGCTGTTTCTGTGCTGTGGCATGGCCTGAAGCCTGACTTGAATGGATCCAAGGCATTCAGGGCATTGGTTTCATCCAGAAGAGCCTGCAGCTGTTTTGTTTTCTTTCCAGGTTTTTGTTTGTTTGTTTGATTACAAGTCCCCTGTCGCAAATTTGCCGATATAAAACAGCACTTACCTTTGTACTGTGAGGAGGAAAATGGCAGTAAAAAAGCACACAGTAAAGAAAGGCCCCATAGCTGCTGCTTTGTGTTTCCCCATAATGAGACGTCTAATATACAGTGAACATATAAAGGAAGTAGGTTTTCATTTCCTCCTCTTGAGGGCATTATTTTATAACCTCAGAAATATGAAAAACCTTGAGTCAGGCCTCTGAGCTTTATGGAGAAAAGTTTCATTTCTAGGCACTAGAATCTGGGTCTTCTCCAGGCTTCAGATCTGAACATGCATCAACAGTTCCTCAGATGATAACTGTAGAAAATATAATTACTCCATCTGCTATAATCTTAATTAAAAAGCACATTGGAGTAGTTTGAAAATGGCAATCCTGAAGCATACTGGAAACACAGTATTGGCTAATGCAATTATGACATCACCATTCTGTTTCTCCAGTGACTGCTGGAATTGTATGATGAGACAGTTGTTTATGTGTTATCTGGTTTGATCGATAGCTAAGCTCATATTAGTCACTTACGAAACCTACACAGATCCAGAATATTGTCTGCCTAATTCATTAGAGGATGGTTAGTTTCTTATGTAGGGGTCCAAATGGTTCAGAGTATCAAGATGTGTTGTCTGACTTGTGTTGGAGGCTGTGCTTTAATTTATTTATTTATTTATTTATTTATTGGACTTATATACCGCCCCATAGCGCTACAAGCACTCTCCGGGCGGTTTACAATTTTAAGTATACAGGCTACACATTGCCCCCCCCAGCAAGCTGGGTACTCATTTTACCGACCTTGGAAGGATGGAAGGCTGAGTCAACCTTGAGCCGGCTACCTGGGATTTGAACCCCAGGTCGTGAGCACAGTTTTAGCTGCAGTACAGCATTTTAACCACTCTCGCCACGAGGCTCTTCATTTGCTTCTGTCATCCAGAGCTACATGTAGATACACTTTTATTTTAACTTATAAAGTCATATATGTTGTTGTTTTTGCTGTTGCTGTTATGTATCATCAAGTAGGAACTGACTTCTAGCTATCCTATCCATCTTCTCCCACCTAGATCTACCCGAATCACCCGACATAGCCACCAGGGACGGCTGAGGGGCCTAACACTGAGAGAGGCCCAGAAAGAACAAGAAACCGGGCCTTCTGGGCAGTGGCCCCTTAAGGGATGTTAGCCTTGGCCCTTCTCCCTTGTCTTTCCACTGGCTTCTTCATTCAGACAAGCCTCTGACATCTAGCTGGATTTTAAATAATGGTGGGGGCACTCTTTATTGATCAGATTTTAATTGTATTCAGTGATGTTTTTCACATGTTTAGTGTGCATTTTATTTGTGCAGTATTGCTGTTAGTTGCCCTGGGTGCCTTTTTTGGGTGGGGGAAGATAGGATATAAATGCAAGGAAGTAAGTAAATAAAATAAATACCTTTGATTTGTGTTACATATGCCTTCTGATCAGTAACACTGCACCCCTGAGACATTACATCTTGTACCCTCCTAGTCCCATGCAATATTGTTCCTATTTTCATTTGAGAAATGTTGAAATGTATGATAAAGATCCCAGGGCAGATAGCATCCTCCTTTTTGAGTGCCAAGGGATAAAGCATACCCAAGGAGTATTCCCTTTGTGAAGTCCTCTTTCAGGCTCTGACCAAAGTGGTCACAGGAGGAAGACAGCAATACATACAAGTGTAACATAACTTTGCAAAGAGAATTCTTTTGTTCAGATGGGAGAATCAAAATCCTGTTGATGTCAGCAAGCACAGAAAAATAGTTGCACAAGCAACATATGTTATTTTGCTGACTTTCCATCATGCACAGTGGAGAGCCCACAAAATATGAAAATCACTTGTTGACAGTAAAATCTAACAACTGAGATCTTCTGTCTATGAATGTGACTATAAGACCAGTTTTGGTATTAGGTGTAGGAAACATACGTTCAATTTTCTTCTCAGCCGTGAAGGTGACTATCTTGGGCCACTGGAGGAAAAAAAAATCTAGCATGTCTGTAAGTAAGTAGAAAAGTAAGTCAAAGGAATACATAGTTATATATATTGTTACGGCAGCTAGAATTATATATGCTAGAAATTGGAAAAGTCCGATGGTACCGAAACAAGAAGATATTATTGAAAAGATACGGGAAATAACCGAAATGGATATCTTATCAGAAGTCATGAAAGATCATCCCCTGCAAAAGGCAACAGAAAGATGGGATCTATTTAACAAGTGGACTGAATCAACAGGCAGCGTCTGAATAACATATACAGTGGTGCCTCGCACAACGAGCGCCCCGTAGAGCGATGAATTCGCTCTACGGTGACGCTTTTGCGATCGCTAATGCAATCGCAGAGCGATGCCCCCAATGGGCGAAAATCGCAGAGTGAAGGTCGGTAAGCGGTTCGCTTACCGACCTTTGCTTTGTGACCCGCCGATCAGCTGTTCCGCGGCTTCAAAATGGCCGCCGGAACAGCCGAAATGGCTGCGCGCAGCGTTTTCACGCCCTCCCCTCGCTTACCAAGGGCGCGAAAACCCTGCGGTCGGCCATTTCGGCTGTTCTGGCTGCCATTTTGGACCCGCCGGACAGCTGATCGCAGCCATTTTCGCGCCCTTGTTCAGCGAGGGGAAGGCGCGAAAATGGCTGCCGGCCATCGGAGAAACATCGCTGAATGGTGAGTACTGCAGCTGATTGGAACGCATTAAACACTGTTTAATGCATTCCAATGGGCTTTTCTGCCCCGCTCAGGGATGTTTCACACAGCGAGGGTTAATCCGGGACGGATTAACCTCGCTGTGCGAGGCACCACTGTATTGAAATGAGAATTCTATCTACAAGGCAGAAAAGAGTAAACAGAATAACTTAAAATCTTGATATGGCAATAGGTATAGATTGGATATCAGTATGTTATTGTCTCCCCTCTTCCTCATTAATTCCAGTTCCCTTTTTCCCTTTTGTCATCCCTTATGTGAAAAAAATGAAAAAAAAATTGAAAAAAAAGTAAGTAGAAAAGTGCAGTAGCATTTATTCAGATTTCATTTATTTGTTATCCTATGCAAGTATCTTGCATTTCCTAATTTGCTAAGCTTACGGTCAGGGTGGTCAGGGTTGAGCATTTATACTCAAAGAAAGGAAGGAAGGGAGGAAGAATTTCACAGATCACATAAAGGCATTTTGGAAAGAGATGCCACATAAATTTTCATTACTGAGATCATGTGTCATAAATATACATAGAAAGAATATATTTTTCAAAATGGAAAATTCTTCCTTTCTTAGATGGCAAGACATACCGTTACTTTTCAAATACAAAGACTTGTTCCCTTTTGATGCTGAGATACTTAAAGTTGATAGGCTTCATTTTAGGGGCTGTTTTAATTGCTTTGTCATTTTGTCACATCCATCTCTAGATTAGAGCACAGCACAGAGAAATTGGTTTATTGGGCTTCCTTTGTGGTTTTATTTCAAAGCAAATGAAAAAAATAAAAATGCTTTGATGGTTAATATTGAAATTACAAAGAAACCCATATGTAAGAACAGAAAATTACTGATTCAGTTTCTGTTGTGTTCATGGACATAGCTACAAAATCACCATAGCCTTTTCAGTATTGTTATAATGCAGGGTAGGGAACTAGTTGCCCATCTCCACTGCTGGGAAAACTGGTATCCTGACTGATTCCCACCATACAAGCTGTTGCAGTTCTAGATCTAGGCTTTTCTTTGGGATTTGTGTCTGTGACAACAACTTTCTTTCTTTCTTTGATTTTTGCTGGGCTTTGAATTTTTCTAATTTTAGTATTTTTGTTTAGCTAGGCTTGCTGTGGATTATTAAGGCGTTGTTTAATCTTTGCACATATTTTTGATACAGTACTATGAAATATCTAGGCTATTTGCATGGCTGCTTAAGGTTTTTGATTTTCTTATTGACTTTTCTTGGAATGGTACGGTATAGAGTTGTGATACTAATGTAAGCTGCTTTCATCATGGTTTTACCATGGAAAAGCAGCATAGGAAAAAACCTGGAGCTGCTGGAGCCTTTGGTGAGGCAAACCTTCAAATAGTAAATAAGATTAAGAGATGCATTGACAGGAGAAAGAGAGAAGAAAGCCATGTAGCTGAGATGTAACATTTTGAACTGCAGGTAGAGAATGCAATTTTATATGCTCTTTAGTCTTTCATGTGTATTAAAAAAACAATGACATTAAAATGGGCTGTAGCACTTCAGACTGCAATGGGCTACACTTTTTGTCTCTGTACACAAAACAAAAGCAATAAGTATTGCAATTCTTCCCCCTCCCCAATATTTCAAGGGCACACCTGCATCTTTATGGAGAACAGCCAACAATCATGATTTGTGCTGGTGAATGAGCCATCACAGATCAGTCACCACACCTTTTGTAGCAGTTCATATCCTATCAGATATAGTCCATACCTTAGCTGAGAGGTATCAGCTGATGAGACATCTTGCTGGTGTATGAGCATCTGGGTTCACATTCAAAGCATGCATGGGGGTGATCTGAGGACGCACAGACTGATCTGGCTGTTGTGGTCAGATGTTCCTGCCACCTGTTCACACCAAGATAAAACACACGGAACTCCCTCGTAGCAGAAGAACATGGACCAAACAAGACCTCTTTTGAAAGGATTTATTTATTTATGACATCTTGCTGGTGTATGAGCATCTGGGTTCACATTCAAAGCATGCATGGGGGTGATCTGAGGACGCACAGACTGATCTGGCTGTTGTGGTCAGATGTTCCTGCCACCTGTTCACACCAAGATAAAACACACGGAACTCCCTCGTAGCAGAAGAACATGGACCAAACAAGACCTCTTTTGAAAGGATTTATTTATTTATTTATTTATTTATTTATCTATTNNNNTATCTATTTATCTATTTATCTATCTATTTATTTATTTATTTATTTATTTATTTATTTATTTATTCATTCATTCATTCATTCATTCATTCATTCATTCATTCATTTATTCATTCATTTATTTATATCCCGCCCATTTAGACTGAAGTCTACTCTATATATATATAGGGCCTCTTCTCATGCTTGCAAAGCATGGAGCTAATGGGGTCATGGCTGAACAGTGTGATTGATGATGAAGTGCAGGGTTTGCCATTGAAAACTTACTTTTTAAGGCCAAATACTGGCCTTGGGATTCTGGGCACTGTAAATTTTTTAAAAATCCTGAGCATTGCCTAGTACAATTGGGGAGTACTTTTGGGGACACCTCTGTTGTAGATACCATATTTTTCCATGTATAAGACTATACTTTTGTCTAAAATCTTTAGACTAAAAATTGAAGGTTGTCTTATACAAGGAGGTAAGCGGAGGAAAGAACAAAAATAAGTGGAGGGGAAAGCAGGGATCAAAGTGACCCTGCAGGGCTTTGATCCCTGCTTTCTCCCCCACTTGCTAAGCCCCACTTAGATTTCTTAATTTTGGGTTAGAAAATTGGGAGCTTCTTATACATGGGTGTGTCTTATACACGGAAAAATATGGTACACTTCTATGCACCACCTCTTATACCAGAAGAGCATATGTGGGACTCTGGGACTGCATGTAGCTTGCAAAACAGTTCCTAAGGTGCTAGACTGTTGCACCTCCTCTGCTCTAAAATACTGTTCCCCTGCCATCATGAATCACAATTTAATTTTCCTACTAAGATAAGCCTAATTCACTCACCTGTCATCTGAAAACATTAACATCATTATACAAAAGAATTGAGCTCTACCCTCCCTTTCTTAAGTTGTGATGTGTCTAAGGGAATGAGAAATCTCACTTGCTCATTGGCATTACAGATCAGCAAGGGCCCACAATTTCTGAGTGATGTAATGATTGCAGATGATACCACTCTGATGGCAGATTTGATTTGTGCTCAGCAACATCTATGTAGTTGCACAGTGACCCTTTTTGGGCTGTATATTGACTGTGGGACTCTGGGTGATATAGTAATCCCCCCAGGCACAGCTGTTTTGGGAACACTTTTTATGAACCACCATCCCCTATAACAGGGGTGCACATTTGAGACCGTGGGGCTGCGTGCAGCCCACAAGACAATTCTTAAAATTCTTAAAATCCCCAGATTCTCAAAGCTCCTCTGCTCCAAAATAGTCCTCCTACCACCAGGAATCAAAATTTACTTTTTAAACAAAAGGTTAAGCAGACTATGGAATGCCCTCCCGACTGAAATCCGTCTGGCGCTGACGTTGATGACATTTCAGCGCTAGGTCAAAACCTTCCTGTTCCAGAAAGCTTTTAATTGAAATAACAACTGTGGGTCCTGATGGGATTTTAATTGTATTTTAATCATTTTATCTTTTATTGTATTTTAATTGAATTTTAATTGTTGTAAGCCGCCCAGAGACCTTTGGGTAGAGTGGGCGGCATATAAGTTAGTTAGTTAGTTAGTTAGTTAGTTAGTTAGTTAGTTAGTTAGTTAGTTAGATAGATAGATAGATAGATAGATAGATAGATAGATAGATAGATAGATAGATAGATAGATAGATAGATAGATAGATAGATAGATAGATAGATAGATCGATTGCAGCCACCATTTAAAAAAATAAGTCTTAAAAAGAACCCCAATTCTGGCCGTTTGCAGTTTTGTTCTTCTAATTTAATTTTGGGGTTATCCCACAAAGTAGATTCCAGCTCCCCCCCTGCACTACTGGGTGATGTTGACAGAAGAGGGACAGAGACTGGAGTAACAATGACAGAAAACCCTGAGTGAATTTGAGCGAACATGAACTAGGGCCCATTGGAAGGCCTATCCCATTACAGTGGTGGCAGCAAAAAAAGTCATTCTTCTCTGCCACCACTGTGGCTGCACAGAGCTATTCAGCAGAGCTCTTTTGAGTGGTGAAGGTCCAAAGGAAGAGAATTCAGACTGCACTGTAGCTCACTGGGAAGAATTTGCACAACACTTTGGAGGCAAAATGGCTTAGATTTGTTTTGACTTGGATGCTCTTGTTGATACAGGTACACTGAGTGTAACTATGGCCCCTGGTTTATAAAAACTGCCAGAAAGAGACTGGTCGAGTGGGCAGGAGGAACGGTGAATGCCTGCTTGCAATAGGGTAGGATCCCAGCATCTTTAAAGGAAGGAATAGTAAGATCACTGTTGAAAAAATGATCCTTGTATCATATAATACTGAATAATTACTGACCAATCTAATCTTTAATATTCTTGGGCAACGTACTAGAGTGGGTCATGGCTTCTCAGCTCCAGGGATTCTTGGATGAGAGAGATTATCTAGATCCATTTCAGTCTGGTTATGAGATGGAAACTGCTTTGGTCACCTTCGTGGATGACCTATACCAAGAACTGAACAGGGGGAGTGTGCCCCTGTTGGTTCTGCTGGACCTTTGAGCGGGATATGTACAGTACAGGTCAAAATAGTCTCCAAACAAGGCTAGGTACTCAACAGAAGAGAATAAAGATATATAAGAGATATTTGCACACGTTTATTTTCTTGTACTTCTAGAAAAAACACAAACTATATTTGAATTACAGATAAGATGCTAGGATAACTTGTGGGGGGGGGAACAAATAATCAGTTACAAACTTGTTGATTAAACAATTTTCACTCTACCTGGTGATAGTATAGAACATTTCTGGAGGACTATATATGACACATTATATATAAAAACATCATCAAAAAGTGTGGGCTGGCTCCTCTGTTATTTGAGCACAAATCCCCCCTGATGTCTGTAGCCCACTCTTCTGATGCACATGAAAGCTGCACAATTTTTCCCTTTCCTGCTCTAATGAGGTTTACTCCCCAGCAATGAGATCTTCTTTGTTATGCGTATCTCCAAAACTAGGCAGGCACAGGGAGCCATTATTTACATTTCAACGATCATCCCAGTGATACTCATGCTTCTTTTGTTTTATGGATTTCCCCCCCCCCATCAGACATTTTTCTCCATATCAGGGGCAGTACTTTTAGATATTGAATCAGTGTCATTTTGTCTAGTGAGGACCTTGGACACAGTGGTATCACTTAAGTTGTCCCTGGTTCAAATGTGAGAGTTATCATTCTTCAAACCTTACATCGTGAACAGAGAGGAATGCAAAGAAAATCCTTTACATACTTTTTATGCCTCATTTCTTATGAACATTTTAGTCATATTGTCTGAGTGCCTCTGCTGCTCAGGCAATGGGCCTCTGGTGCAGAGTTCTTCCTGTCATACAACAAGGGTGAAGCAAACTGCTTGAGATAGGATTGGATAAAAGGAAGAACTGAGAAAGGGAGATATTCGTATCTGAATGGCAGAGTTAGACTTTTCAAAATGTTGCTCTAACCAATGCCTGGGTCACAGAGTATTAAAATTTGTTATACAGTATCTAGAGGGATAAAGATGTTAGTGCAGTCCAAAAACACCTGCATTGCCCATGGTTGGGTACCACTGCTGCATGGCATACACAACTCTGTCCCCAAATGGAGTGAAATGGCCAAAAAAAAATGTGCAGGAGGAACAGCTCTGAGGTAGCACTGGTGCATCCCCAATACTTGCTACTGGAGTGGATTACCTCCATCTGCTTGGATAAAAGGAAGAACTGAGAAAGGCAGATATTCGTATCTGAATGGTAGAGTTAGACTTTTCAAATTATTGCTCTAACCAATGTCTGGGTCACAGAGTATTAAAATATGTTATACAGTATCTAGAGGGATAACGATGTTAGTGCAATCCAAAATCACCTGCGTTGCCCATGGTTGGGTACCACTGCTGCATAGCATATACAACTCTGTCCCCAAATGGAGTGAAATAGCCAAAAAAAAAAAAAAATGAGGGGGAACACAGCTCTCAGGTAGCGCTGGTGCGTCCCCAATATTTGCTACTGGAGTGGATTACCTCCATCTGCCTAAGGGTAATGCTGCCCCTGAATGTACAATAGAGCATGAAAATGCATGTCACATAATATATTTCTTAGCCTTTAAGGTCCCACAAGAGTTCCTATTGTTTTAATATCCTAAATGTACCCAAAAGCTAGCAAATGTAAGTACAAGATACCAAACTAGCGAAGAATTATGGATTATGTAGCAGTAAACGGCTGAGTGCTATATTCGTGCCCATCAAACATATCTTCACAGTTTGATCAGGGATCCATGAGCCGTGCAGGGGAAGACCAGACAAAAGGCTCAGTTCTGAGGCATCCCTCCCAAACTTAATAAAAATATCCTTTTTTGGAGTAAAAGTCCCAGAATCCTCTGCCAGCACGATCCCCTGTGCTACCCAATTGTCACAATTTTCTTATCTGAATGTTGTATCATTTGCATGCAAATCTATGCACTTGGATTAATTGTTCAATTAAAATCCATCAAGTCAGCTGAGTGTTTCTGTTATGCAAGTGTCAGCCATAGAGCTGATGTGCATGGCAGAACACCCCCCGCCCACGAAGATGAATGGCACAAATGTAAACTAAGAAGATGGCTTAGACATAGTGAATTGATGAGTAAACATTCTATAAGTCACCCCCTATGGTTTTCTTTATCCAATTGAGAAAGTTCTTTGTAAGGCGAGTGTAAACACCGGGGAATTGGCGATCAGCGCATTTTAAGAGTTTGCCGAAGGAGACAATGCCTCTTTGTTGCCCATTGCAGATCAAAGGACCACCAGAGTCACCCTGATGAAGAAAAGGGAGAAAGAGTAGATATGAGCAAGGTTATAACTAGAATGCAGCAACAGAAACTTTGTCCCAGGGTGCCAAATTTAGAGGGCTTGCATTGGCCTAGTGACCTGGTGTTCCACTATAGGTAAAAACAAGCTAAACCTGTCCTCAAATGGTAGAGGCTACTAGAGGTGCAGAAGACAGATGGTCAAGAGATCAGCCCTTGATGAGCCTTTGGAGGCAAGTCTACTTGAAACTTGGTAGATCAAGCCTTTTGCCCAGACATTGTCTTGAATGGTTGGTTAACCCAAAGGGGGCAGTTCTACCCAAGGTTCAGTAAACAAGGCCTCCCTACTGGACGGTCAATATACCTGAAGCTTGACCCAGCTCTCACCCAGATGTGAAGCAGGAGGTGGTGCCATCCAGATAGACACCTCATCTACTCAAGACCAAGTATACCAAGCCTACCTTGTCAGAGGGTAGTTGGTACAGCTGGTCTCTCAGGTGGGAAAAACAGAAAGTCAATTTATTAATAGATGGCATGTCAAACAATGCTTGTGTGAGGATATACATATGGGTGTATATGCACGTTGCATATTTGTTTTGTTTTTAGTCCCCTGTAAGGGATGGCAGATGCTGGGAAAGCATCAGGATCACAATGTCAGCAGTTTTAGCTAGCAGTATATAAAATATCCAGCAAATATTTTGTAAGATATGGTGTATGATGTGTACTGCAAATATAATGAATAGTTCAAGAAGCCAAAAGAGATTTAAAGGATGAAGAGTCAGGAGCTACTTCAGAAATGTAATTTAAAAAATCCCAAAACCTTGGTATAGTTGGGAACATTTTAAAATGAATTATTGTTATTGATTGAAAATATAGGAAACAAGAGGAGTATTGTTAACTATACAGTTCCTGAATACAGCTGTGTCTTTTTAACAGTTACAAGTCACAAGGTATTTTGAAACAGTAAGAGAAGAAACAGGAAGCTAAATATAGATACCTCAGATTGTGTGTGAGGTAAGTTATGATCCCATACTCATTTACCTGTGAGAAATCCCAACTGAACTCAATGTCTGCAGGGTCCCTTACCAGGCACATGACTGAAATGCATGCACAAATAGGCAGTAAAAATCTATGTTAGGCAGTTTACAGAATCTGACTCCCATGTTGCTGTAACCTATAGTCTGAATTGCTTCAGGTTAGAAAGAGCTGTATTTACTGATCCTGCATAAATGAATGCCTATGAGTTGCAGATTAATGTGTTCCGTGGAGCAGTAATCAGGGTGTGAGGAATAAAATCACCATGATCCACAATGATGACACCAGGGGCAAGAACTTCATAGAAAAATATGCTGTTTGATGCATGAAACATCTGTGTCTACATTTTTTTCCTCTGAAAGTCATCTTTAAAATACATTTCCACACTTTAATAGTAGTAGATTGCACCAAAGAATTTTTAATACCTTTAACAACAAATCTATAACCCATTTAAGTTTAGTTCCTAGGTTTACTTTACCTTACTTCTCCACTCTGTTCTTCTTTCCTCTATAATTATTGCTGAGCAGAGTGTCAGCCATGAAAACAATGCAGATTTTTTTTGTCCTACAAAAGCATCCAAAGTATGCAAAATGTCTTACCGCACATGTGTCCTTCCCTCCTTTTTTGCTGCCAGCACACACCATATTCATTGTCACGATCGGCTGAAAATTATAGTGCTTCTTGTCATTGCAGATGTGTCTTTCTATGACGGTGACATTGACTTCCCGTAATGTATCAGCTGGCTTCTTCTGTTTATTATCAACAACTCCCCATCCAGCTACAAGGCACTCTGTTCCTGCCTTGAGGTCATCGAAAGTTTGGGCAAGCTTAACAGGAGACACATTGCTGTTGATCTTTGCTGCTCTATTCAGCTTAGATAGGAATGGGAAAGGAAAAAGAACAACAGTTGTTATTACCTGGTGTGGTGGTGGTTTCAACATATATACTGCCCCATCCTGTTAAAGCACTCTCTCAGTGGTTTACAACCTAATGATGCAAACAACTTTGCCCCCAGCAAACTGAGTACTCTTTTTACTGACCTCAACTTCAGAGGAATGAAAGACTGAGTCAACTGAGCCAGCTGAATCTGATACAACTGAACTCAGGTCATGAGCAGAGGCCTGACCACAGGACTGCTGTTTAAATCCTGAGACATGGAGCTCATTTCTATACAATGTCAAAGTCTCCAATTTCTTTATGATTCTTTGTTTTTAAATAGGTCTTATATTAGACTGCTCTTCATGTAGGGAATCTACATGCAAGTTTTGTGATACCTGGATTACTAAAAAAAAAATCACAAATATAAGTTAGCTTTCAGATCAACACAAGGTTTCATCATGCAGGTCGAGCCAGATGAACACCTATAAAGGGTTCTGCTTATGCTTGTGATTTTTAAGTGATCTAAAATAGAGGCATCATCTTCAAATTGTATATGAGGGCACATGACTCCCGCCCCCAAGGAATATTATTTTCTGGAAGCCCTTTAAATAGAGGACTATCTTCTATAGAAGAGAACATGTGGCTGCCCTACTCCTCCCTCATCTTCAGCTGGAGGCCTTTTACTTCCTGCCCCATGTGCTGTTGTGCCTACCCGCTCTCAGCATTGGTTCCAGCGGTCATGCAACTGGCATACTTTTGTCATGCTCAACTGAGCATATAATTCTTATGGCAGCTGCACAGAGTCTGCCTTTCACCATCTCTAGGAGCTCCCTGCAGGATAAGATCACATCAGCATATCTGCCTTTTAAAACTGTACCTGCAGAAGCATAAGGTCATTTTCTTTTGCCTGCTCATCGAAGCATGGGTAAGGAATCCGTTTAGCAACTGTAAAGATCTGTTTTGAAGGCTCGGCCTTTTTCAACGAATGAGCTCCAAGAGTCACTTTGGGATTTTCCCCCCTACAAAGATAAAGATTGATTGATTGATTGATTGATTGATTGATTGATTGATTGATTGATTGATTGATTCCTCGATTCCTCCCATCTGGCCAAAGGACACTCTGGGTGGTTTCCAACATATATAAAACAACAGGCTTAAAATACAATTTTCCAAAAGAGAAAACAGAAATGAGAAAATGCAAATAAAAAATACCATCAAAATATAAAAATACATTTACAGAAAACATTCAGAACATTTAAAAATGTGAGCTGGATCAAGTAGGCTGTCTAAGCTCAGCTTAGTCCACAGGTATAATGTTTCGGAATGTCTGTTTAATAACCAGATTTTTAATGACTTTCTAAAAATCACCAGCTGAAGAGCACCGGCCGAGAAGGCCCAGTTTTTTGCCTTTTCTTGGCCTCTCTTGGGGTTAGCATCTTCAGCCAGCCTGCTTCAAATGTTCTTGTAGGATGTTGAAAGTAGTTGTTCTGATAGGTACTGAGGGCTTTAGGTTAGAAAAGTTAAAGAATGCAGATGACTCAATTTTATCTCTAGGGCCAGTATCTTTTCATGCTGCCTGAACAGTCATGCGTTGGTGTTGAGTAATGATGAACTCAAATCCTATTGCAAAATACCATGCAAGAAAGGACAAGTGTAATAAAATTGATGAAACTGAGGCCACTGTACTTTGGGCACATCATAAAAAGACAAAATAATAATAATAATAATAATAATAATAATAATAATAATAATAATAATAATAATAATAATAATAATAATAATAATAATAATAATAAATAATAATAATAATAATAATAATAATAATAATTTATTGTCATTGTAAGTATATACACAGTATACCCATACAACTAAATTCAAAATGCATTGGAGGAGGCAATAATGGTAGGAAAATGTGAAGGCAAGAGGAAAAAAAAAGACTAAATAAGATATGGATTGACACAACAAAGGAAGCCACAGCCTTGAGTTTGCAAGAACTGAGCAGAGCTGTTAGCGACAGGAATTTTGGAGCTCACTAATTCATAGATTAACCAAAAATTGGAAGTGACCTGATAGTAGATAACAACAAAGGGCAATTGTGGAAGTGCTTTTTGCATTTTGTTGACCTGACCCAAGATTGACCTGGGCATATCTGAGTGTCTGTTCTCACTGCTGGAAAAATATTTTTTGGGATTCGTGCTTAAGTCACATGGACTTTAGCCCAAATCCAAAACTTATGTGGCGGTGTGTGCATCTTCACCCTGCCACTAACAATGCTGCCGTCTTCATCTCCTGTCAGGTGGGTCTGATGTGGGGGGGCAGGGGAGGATGGAAAGGGAGTGGGGGAGGATGATTGGGAAAGGGTTTTTTTTCCCTGACAAACCTGGTATATACACACAAACACATCACATATACAAATGCACACATACAGAGAAGAGAGACAGATTTAGAATTACAGTGAGGGAGTTGTGAGGCTGGTTTCTCCTTCCCTGGATGCACAAAACCCAAAACATCCACCTAGAGAGCAAGCCAGTGTAAGAGGAGGAGGAACCACCCTTGCCGTGGAGCTCCACATCTTGGAGAAACTCCTCCCAAGGATCCCCATGATTTTAACATGTAGGATCACCCCAAACCAGCGAAGCATGGGTCACCATGGATCCCCATGAATTTTATATGTAGGATCACCCCAAATCACAAAAACATGGATCCCAGGCATGCCTTGGATTTGTAGTCTGTGGGCACAGATACGATCTATGATTTGATGGTGATTTGGTGAGGATTCCATATAAATGTAAGATGAAAGGGGTGGAAATTGAAAGAGGGGGTGGAAAGGGGAAGAGGGGCAAGGGGTGAGGGTGGTGGCAAGTGACTGGGGGAAATAGAAAGCAGGGACGATTTGGAGGGGGCGAGGAGAAGAGTTTGGTTGAAGGATGGCACAGAAGGGGAGGAGGGTGGAGGGGACTGAAAGGGGAGGGAAGGAATTGGCTTGGCTGTCAAAAACCAAAGAAACCCAGAGCAGGAGTGTTCACATATGCAGAATTGATTCATTCAAATCTGCCTCAAAATACAGTAAATGGACTTCTAGCAGGGAGCAGAATAACTTGCTCCCTTGGCAGAGTAGTCTCTGTGTGTACGTGGCTTGTGTGTACACTTAGGTTTGTGTCAGGTTTTTCTTTTTTTCAGCAGAATGTGGATCTTATTGTCAGTGGGATAGAGCCCTGAGTGAGCAATAGACACTACATAAGAGCACACATACCCATATATGATTGCCAGGTCACGCTCCATGATTCCTACATAATTCTGGCCACTGGAGTGAATGCTGCTTTCTCCTTAGATAGTGCATTTAAGACTGCAGATTTACAGGCATTGATTCGTAACATAACATTGTGCACGAATTGTCAACTGGAGTATGATTTAAGTAGAGTGACCAGATATACATTGATAGTAGATGCAATGTACGACCATTTTAAAAGGTTCAGGTCCATTCTTGGATGTATTAAAAAATTTACAAACACACATATGCAGACACAGAATGTTTGTTACTTTTAAAAGCACTTCAAAATAACATCAGCACTACAGTAATTAATTGTATATTCAGTCATCCGTAAGTCTTTGCAGCAAAGAGATCTGGTCCTTCAGCATGCCTTGGTATGGAACCTGTGTCTTTGATATACATAGGAAGTGGTGAGGAAATGCTCACATGGAAAGTGAAACTTACAGGCTGTCCAGACTGGTGTTTTGGTGCAGGCTGGACTGGGCTTAAAAGCGACAGTTGAGTTCGGGGGGAGGAGCAATGTGCCATGTGGTTAGCTCCTCCTGTCCAAATGGCACTTTGGCTCCCACTGTCAATTAAATATTTCCCCTGATCCTATGGAGGATCAGTGGGAGTGAAATTATTTTTCTTACAGAATCTTAGATCATCACTGAAGCAGTGCATCACTTTTGTTAAATGAAGAAAATCCTTTTATTTGCCTGTCCGTTTATTCCAGTCGAGAAACTGCCCACAGCTGTGGAGGTGACTTTGCAGTTCATGTCTGTCTGTGTGCATTTGTGTAAGGTTTAGCTTTTGTTGCTTGAGCTTTTGCACCAGCAGGTTATTAATAGAATGCAGATGGCCTGGCAAAGAAGGATGCTTGGCAAGTTGCAGAGAGGGAAGGAAAGAGAGGGAGGAAAGGAGGGAGAAGTGAATGCTATGGGCCATTTCTCAATCTGCAACACACAGACAGGCCAAATATATCTATATCTATATATCTATAAACTACTGTGGAAAGTTTGTTAGAGGGTCAGTGTCTGTCTATTTTTACTAAACTTGTGTTTGGATTAGGTATGAAACAATGTACAAAAGGAAACAGATATTAGAAAGTATGTACTTGGGATATTGGGACCAATTACAAATTATCTGGCATCTTGTTCAATGTTTGTACATGCATGAAAGCTGCTGGAGTGATACAAAGAAGTACTGCTCCTGCTTGTCAGATTGTGTGGCAGTTTCTGTTGCTGACATTCTGTTCACGTAAATATAGAATACAATATGGACTACAGTTTATAATCCATTCATAACTATACCCCCAATTTTTTGGGCTGCTAGCTACACACTTTTTTTGCTACTTATTTTTAGGGGATCTTTTCAAAGTCAATTCTTCACTTCCTTCTGTCTTTTGTAGGTTCCTAGTAGGACTTTGTACAACAGTGAATCTGCACCCAGAAACTTGTGCTGACAGCTGGGAGCAAAGGTGTTGTTCTAGAGCTTTGGCCTGGCTCTTAGTTTTTGCACAAGATTGGGTCAGTCCAAAGGTTTTGTGTGCTGGCCACGCCAATGGTAGAGGCCAAGGTTATATGCTATGGGCATATGACTGGAAACTGGCACCAGTGACTTATATTAGAAAAAGAGGGAATCTGTCTATAGACCAAATTTATTTTCAGAGAAATAGTCAAACCTGCATTCCTGTGGTGGGTGGGGCCAATCACTAAAAGGGAACACTGCAGAAAGGCACATTTTAATATAAAGCTCTCATTCCTGGTAATTACGCCTGAAGAGAAACATTCCAACCTTTGAAAATGGGGGAAATCCATGCAAAACCTGGGATCTCAACAAGGATATAATGGAAAAGAGAGAACACGAGAGAGACCAGATTAAGGTCTCAGAAGGGCTGGGTTTATCCTCAGTGCCTGTAGATTGCCCTCTCCTGCATGGAAAGATGGATGTGCTGTGCTACTGCACTAAGAATTTCTACACAAGTCAGTTAGAAACATAAGGGGGTGCTGATTTCTGTTAACACATTATACTCCTTAACTTTGTAAATAGAAAAATAGAAGCTTGTAGCTGAACTTACAGATTGCAGTGGGCTGCTGTTAACACCCAGTTTGGTTTGATCAATGTTCCTCCACACATAACTTTTCCCTGAATTAAAGCCATAAAAGGTCTCGAGTGTGGAATTGATTCTTTCCCTCCAATTATATCTGCACCTTGATCTAAAGGGGAGGGGGAATAAACCATGTTAGTCAAATTCAACACTGGTTGGGTCTCATCTAGAGTACTATGTCCAGTTCTGGACACCACACTTTAAGGAGGAGGCAAACAAACTGAAGTTAAGTTCAGAGGAGAACAACAAGGATGATCAGAGGACTGGAAATCAAGCCCTCTGAGGAAAGACTGAAAGAACTGGGCATCTTTAGCCTTGAGAAAAGTCTGAAGGGAGGTATGACAGCACTTTTCAAATACATGTAATAATGGGCTCAAGCTACAGGAAGCCAAAATTTGAGTGAACATAAGAAAAAATGTCTTAACTGTTAGAGCAGTACAACATTGGAACCAATTGCCTTGTGAAGTAGTGAGGGCTCCAATGCTGGAGGCACTCAAGAGAAAATTGGACAACTATGTGTCAGATCTGCTTTGATTTGGATTCCTGCACTGAGCAGGGGGTTGGACTCCATAGCCTTATATGATCCTTCGAACTCAATTTTTCTGTGATTCTATTATTCCATGAAATGGATGCACTATGGCATATGCTGAGGGATAATCCACTAGAAGCAAGACAAAGGTTGGGAGGGACATTTATTAACCATTAAAAATTACAAACATAAACTAGTTTTTGATCCTGTAAAGGTTTTCTTCAAGCTGAGGACCAGAGACCTGCCAATGGAATTTCAATAATGAATTTGTGACAAATGTAATACATAATTCATTCCTTTTAAAAAGTAGTTTTTAAAATACATTTATTATCCATCCTTACCTTCAGAGCATGTACAAGGATCACATGGCCTTTTCTCTTTTTTGTAAGACAAAATAGAATAATGCTCATACTTGGAGTATAATAATACGCCATCAAGTCAATTCTGAGTTTTGGTGAACCTTCTCAGAGTATTCAGAAGTGGCTTACCATGCCCTTCTTCTGAGGGCATGCCGGTATGCCGGGAATGTGCAGCTTCCTCAAAGTGACACGGACTGGTTCTCCTGGGAGGCACAGTGGGGGACTGAACTCTCAACTTTTGGCTACATAGCCAGAGACTTAACTCACTGAGCTATTCAGCCAGCATTTCTTGGAGCATTGAAGTTAGTTTTTAAATCCTCAAGCCCAGTGCCATTGGCCATGCTGCTTGACAGAATCTGGAACTGAAAGTAAAATTTCCAGCTTTTGAAAATGCTCTGAAGTTTGACCCCATCACAGATTGCTGGCCCTTCACGGATTGCTGCCTTGTCGTGGCAAAGGGGCTTGAGTAATTCATGTACTGGAATACAATCTCAAAAATGACAGAATGATTTTAATACGAATCCAAGGCAGACCTTTCAACATCACAGTCATCCAAGTTCATGCACCAACCACTGATGCTGAAGAAGCTGAAATTGACCATTTCTATGAAGACTTACAACACCTTCTAGGACTGACACCAAAGAAAGATTTTCTCATTATAGGTGACTGGGATGCTAAATTAGGGAGTCAAGAGATAAAAGGAACAACAGGGAAGTTTGACATTGGAGTACAAAATGAAGCAGGACAAATACTAATAGAGTTTTGTTAAGAGAACAAACTGGTCATCACAAACACTCTTTTCCAACAACACAAGTGGTGACTCTACACATGGACATCACCAGAGGGGCAATACCAAAATCAGATTGTTTATGTTCTCTGCAGCCAAAAATGGAGAAGCTCTATACAGTCAGCAAAAACAAGACCTGGAGCTGACTGTGGTTCTGATCATCAGCTTCTTTTAGCAAAACTCAAGCTTAAACTGAAGAAAGTAGGAAAAACCACTGGGCTAGTCAGGTATAATCTAAACCAAATCCCTTATGAATACACAGAGGAAGTGAAGAACAGATTTAATGAATTAGAATAGGTAGACATAGTGCCTGGAGAACTACGGATGGAGGATCATAACATTGTACAGGGGGCAGCAACAAAAACCATCCCAATGAAAAGGAAATAGAAGAAAGCAAAGTGGCTATCCAACGAGGCCTTACAAATAGCAGAGAAGAGAAGGGAAAAAATGCAAGGGAGATAGGGAAAGTTAAAGAAAATGGAATGCAGACTTCCAAAGAATAGCAAGGAG